GGCTTGCAGTGAGCCAAGATCACGCCACTGCACTCCAGCCTGGGAGCACAGCGAGACTCCGTCTCAAAAAAAAAAAAAAAAAAAAAAAAAAAGAAAAAGGAATAAGAGAGTCAAGAAAAAGAAAGAAGTTGACATGAAGTTGACAACGTGTGCCGGTGTGGGGTGTTTCAGCCATAGGCATTTCTCTGAGGGCTCCGGGCTTAAACCTGCTGTCTTACCTTGGTAAGCCCTGGGATCCAAGTCTTGGCCCATTCTGGAGATATTCAGTATCTCTTTAAGCCATCTTTTCTTCCCATGAGCCAATTCTATCTCAAAATGTGTGACTGTGGGTAAAGGAATGGGTCCTGGGCTCATAGACCACAAGAGAGATGTCACATGGAGATCTGAGGGCTCAAAGTTTATGGTTGGTATTTTGTTGGTTTTTTTTTGAGACAGTCTTGATCTCTTGCACAGGCTAGAGTGCAGTGGCACAATCTCGGCTCACTGCAACCTCCGCCTCCTAGGTTCAAGCAATTCTCCTGCCTCAGCCTCCCGAGTAGCTGGGATTACAGGTGTGTACAACACACCTGGCTAATTTTTGTATTTTTAGTAGCGACGGGGTTTCAGCATGTTGGCCAGGCTGGTCTCAAACTCCTGACCTTAAATGATCCACCTGGCTCAGCCTCCCGAAGTGCTGGGATTACAGGCCTGAGCCACCATGCCTGGTGGTCAAAATCCTTTGTAAACTAGCATTGTACTTGGGGTATTTTAAAATCTCTCTTAGATAGAGCCATGCCTTGTTTGACCAACAGCTCCACCTCTAGCTGTATAACCTCAGGCAAGTAATCTTACATCTCTGAGCCTCAGTATTTTAATGCATAAATTAGTGAAAATAATACCTCCCCCTAAACTTGTTGTGAGTATAAAATGAGGTACCAAAATGCCACTAAAATAGTAATGATTCAATAAATGTTAGCTCCAGTCTCCCACTAGTAGTACACTTCTGCTTCTCTATTAACACTGGGTTGATTTTGTTATCCTATTTTAATAACATTAATTTACATTGTATAGTGTGTTATGGGCTTGGGATTTTTTTGTTTCTTTTAGAGACAGGGTATAGCTCTATCACCCAGACTGGAGTGCAGTGGCCTGATCAGAGCTCACTGTAACCTTAAACTCCTGGGCTCAAGCAATCCTCTTGCCTCTGCCTCCCAAGTAGCTGGGACTACAGGTGCATACCACCATGCCCTTTGAGAGGGCGTCTCACTCTATCACCAGGCTGTAGTGTGGTGGTGGAGTCTCGGCTTACTGCAACCTCTGCCTCCTAGGTTCAAGTGATTCTCATGCCTCAGCCTCCCAAGTAGCTGGGACTACAGGCATGTGCCACCACGCCCAGCTAATTTTTGTATTTTTAGTAGAGACGGGGTTTCACCATGTTGGCCAGGCTGTTCTCGAACTCTGACCTCATGATTCACCCACCTCGGCCTCCCAAAGTGCTGGGATTACAGGTGTGAGCCACCGCACCTGGCCTGTTCTTCCTTCTATTTTTAAG